TCGAAACCGCCTTATCAAGTAATCAATGATAAATGCACGATTCGCTTCGCTATTTGTTGCGTATAATTTGGCATAGAGACATATATTTTTTAATGAAGTTTTACTCACTCGCATCGAGTGCTCTGCCGTTGACGTACCACTCCACCCTCATAGTAGGGTCGCCCACCGGTTCGATTCTGGCCTCGAAGTGAATTCGTCCACCTTCGATTTGATGAACGTCCCTTAGCGGTATGATGAAACGTGGCGGCGGATAAACTGTGTCCTCTTCAGGAGGCGGTAAGTAAGGCTTGGCGCGTTCCACGTGTCTCAGATAAATCACTTCGGGGCCAGGCGCTGGTCTACAGATATTTGTTATGTTATTTTGTCTCATCTTAAAGATTTATTGCTAGATAGCGCAAGAGTTAATTTCATATACAAAATTTTGATTTTGTTAGCATTTTGTAAGGATATAAAATAAAAAAAAAAGGGATGAATTCACTAAATATTAGAGAAGCTTCTCACTCTGGTTCGATGACTTTCGTCGGTCGGGGTAAATTCAGGCGTCTTGGTTCCGGGGCCGTTCCTTTTGGCGTCTCGATGTAGAGCCGCGCTCGGGTTGCGGTGGAGCCGGCTACATTTTGAGCGGTGCACTGGTACCAGGCTGCATCTGAGAATTTGGCGCACGGGATATCCAAAGTCGAAGCTCCGCTACCGTCGCTCGATATACGTATTTCGAGGCCAGGCGTTATCGGTACGCCGTCCTGCACAAAAAGTCCATTGGTGTGAAAAAATCACGATTACATGACGGATACTGCTTGAAAAGAAATTACCTTTTGCCATGTGATACGTGGAATTGGCGTGCCGACTGCGCGTGCCATAAAGATCACGGGTTCTCCTTCTTTCACGCTTGTTGTAACGAAACGTTCTACGAATTTTGGCGCAACCACTTGCTCTTTCTCAATGACGCTTAAGTTACACTGGCAGGAAGTTTCGCCAGCTTTGTTTCGAGCAATGCACGTTACTATACCGGCGTCGGCGCGACTCACATTCGTGATCATTAATGAATTGTTACCAGATTCATTTACGAGAATTTTATGAGTCATGTCATTGGCGACTTGTTGGCCATTTATATACCAAGTGACTTCGGGATACGGACGGCCGGTTACGCGACAGTCAAATCTGAAAATTATATGGTACTTGTTCATATCTTTTAGACAAATCAGCAATACTTTTATGCAAAAGAGAAGTTAAAAAGATATTAAAAGTAGGAAATAGAAACATACCGCGTCATCTTGCCTTCAGTAGCTTCTCTATCCGTAATGGTGCGAACGAAATTCGGCGGCAGAACCTTGCCCGAGTCAGTGGACTCGATGGTCGATTCTACTTGTTGAGTTTTAATGAATTCTCTTTGCGCTTGATACGGAACTTGATCTACTTGATCGGTAGACTCAATTGCCAAATAAGCGGAGCTAACAGTGCAGCCTTGAGGATTTTCAGACAATAGTGTATAATGACCGCTGTCTTCCGATAGAGCGCTTCGAATTCGTAAGGTAGCCTGTTGATTCGAATAGCTTGTCTCCACGCGTTGGGAATCTCGAATTCTCTGGCCGTTTTTGAACCATGTTAACTGCAACAACAAATACGATTTAAAATTCGATTCGTATAAAAATATGTAAATTTGATATTTAATTATCGTCGCGCTGTCAGGCGTTAGACTGCCAGAACAACATTAAATTCGATTTCAACTCACTCTTGGTTTAGGATTGCCAGTTATCTTTGCAGTGAAGACAGCGTCCGATCCTTCGACGAGTTTCGAGTTTCTGGGTTTCTGAGTGATTTGCGGAGGTGCAACCGGTCCCAAGGTACGATCAATTATTGTAGAAATTTGCAAGTCAGATTCACCCACAAATCGGCGAGTGATCGATTCACGAAACTCCGATTCGCGCAGCAATCTATATTCGAAGGTGTCAACCTGCGCATTCAATAAATGAAAAATATTATTTTCAGCGTTGTTAATCTATCAAAAGCACAAACTTTGTAAGCGCAGATTAATTGCAATACCTTAAAATCTTCAATGCTTGTAGCAGAGCCATTAATGTAACTTCGTTTATCTATCGCTTGTTGATAACTGCGTTGTTGAAAGACCTGGCTTCCAGTTTGTACTTTCTGTTCGCTCGACTGGAAGCTTTGCGCAAATTCCTTCTTATAGCTATCCGATAGCTGCTGCGCTGGAGGACCGAATCCTTCCGGTTTTATGTAAACCGAACAAATTGCTTCGCCTGGGAAGTAAAAAAGAAAGTAGTTTTTTCTATTCTTGGCTGAATTTAATAAAAATGTTTACATAAAGTAAACAAATTTAAAATTGCAATTTTCCTTGCAAGAAACTCTTACCATATTGATTTTTTGCATTGCATGTGTATTCACCCTCGTCCCCTGGACCGATCTGATTAATCTGGAGTGTGACAGTTCCAGTATTTTCGTCATAGGTCATTCGAATTTTTCGCGATTCTAACAACGGCACTCCTTTGTGTGTCCAAGAAACTGTCGGCTTTGGATTACCTCGGACACAACCTTCGAAAATCGCATTGCCGCCCTGCGCAAATCTCGCGTTTTTAAAGATTCGCTCGAAAATCGCCGGTGAGGGATCGCCGGGTTTACCGGTAAATCTATATCAACAAGATTGCATGTATTATTATATTTTTTTTTTGAAAAAAAAAGTAAACATAATGTAATCAGTAAATATCCCGATACTTACACTGGTACCGTCGGCGTCGTTTGCATTACGATCTCCCCTTGAACTGCAGAAATAAAGGAAAGTTACTTTAATTGTATGAAATAAAAAACCTAGTAATATTAAAAACATCGTTGAAATAAATTTCATGCAAATAAATGTATTTATTTCATCCGGAATTGAATTTAATTTGAGGAGAGAGAGGGTCATAGGACCATAAACGCCCATATATTTTCGCAATGGTTCGTTCTCAGGCTAATGAGCAAATTGGTTTAAATTACGACGCGTCTCGATGTAGACATAACTCGATGAAAAAATGCGGCGTCGCCATCGCGCGTAACGGCGACAGGAAAAAAAACGGCGTCAACGGTTCGTTTCCTCGATTCGTTCTACCCTAGTTAAAAAGTACGATAGGAATTACATGAAGAGAAAGAGAGAAAGAAAGAGAAAGAAAGATGTAGATATACATACGTGTAAAGACTTAATACATAACACAATTAGATATGATCGTGTATAGTTTTACTCGATCAATGAGCGCATTTCTGAAGATAATTAGTAACTGAAGAGCTTTCTAACATAACAATTTAATATAACAAGAGAGTGAATATTATAATATAAAGAAATAATAATATTTAATATATAATTAAAATGATATAATTGAATATGATATAATTTAAAAAAATCTTTATAATTTAAAGATTTAATGATTCTATGCGTAAGAATAATGCTGGGTAATAGTGCTTGAGATCATTGACGTCACATTTATTTTTTTTTATATGTTTAACATAGTGCTAAATTTATATTATTTAACAGTAATTAAAATGATTAAAATCGGTGAATTAATGATTTTGTAATAGAATTTATCGCTTTTCATCGTATACTGCTGCGCGGCTATGCATCGTCCGCCTCGCGATCCGCGAAACGCGAATCGTGAGAGCCACGAGCCGCGAAGGGGACGAAAGACGTAACATGCTGCCACAAGCACGGGATCGTATTTTTGCATTCGGATGGGGATCACGTTACCGTGAGCCATTTTAGGCACAACTATCTTTGCCCGGCGCTGAGCGTCGCGACGCGTCGCGACGCGTCTACGCAGTGCCCGGACCAATCGCGTTTCCCATTACGCAAAGGCAGTCACTGACCAAAATAAAACGGAGTCTAACGCTTCTCTCCTTCTCGCCTCTGCATATATTTCGCGTGATTTACATGTTTTAAATCTCGTATTTTTTTTTAATAAAAAATTCTTTTTTTTCTTTTCCCTTTCTATCGTTTTATCCACTCTTCAGTCATTTTTCTACCGCTTCTGTCATTTTCTTTTCAATCAATCATCAGTCTTGTCATGCGTCACAGTTCAACCTGATGACGCTAAGATGCGTTCATTGCGATCAGCTGTTCGAATCTTTAAAGCATATGAATTCTATAGGCAGACATTATAAAACAATGATCCGATTTTTGCAGAAGTTTCATGTAACGAAATAAATAAGATACAGATGTGAAGAGATTATCGCGTAATGCAACATATTTATTTTTTAATTTAATTTATAATGTTATATATTTTTATTAATGAAAATACAAAGTAAAATTGATCTTACATAACAATATGATTTGCAAATATCTTTAACGAGATTTGTCAAAGTAAATATTAATCTTTAGCATATAGTTACTTGACGTTTTAACTACTAGCGTAACGGCATTGCTTACTGTATTTCTTTACTGTATTGTCTTTTAGTTTTGCGCATGTTGAAATATAATCCAACACCTTTCGGTGCATGTCGATGCAACAAAGATTCATAAACCTGTCAGAGTGTTGATTTTATTTGGCAGCAACTGACATGCCCATTTTCTCCATTTCTTAACGAATAACGCAGTTGGCAAACGCGCTCTAGCAAAAGTATTTTTAATAATAAAAATTTGAATCGTATAAACACTATTGTATTGAAACATTTGTTTGCAAAATATCGAGCTGTAATACGAAATATAAATACACAAGTGTGTTATTTTTCAAATTTATGTAAAAATCTTCAAAAGTAAGGTTTTCCGTGAAATTGTTTGTATTCGTTTTATTATAAAAGGCTAAAATATTGATTTAATATTGATCAGTATAGAGAAAAACAAATATATGAAGAAACTGAAAAAGTATTTTCTTCATATATCTTGATCTTGATATTATCTTTATTTAATAAATATAACTCGCGGTTCTATCTTTCATTTATGTGTAAAAAATGAGTTAATAATTTAATAAATATTTTATCTCGATTTTTATCTTTGAAAATTTGGCATTGCGCCGAGCTTACATCGAATCGCGCAATGAATTGGATAAGCGCAAACAAGATCATAATAAACGCTTTTCTCAAATAGATTTTGCAACTTGCTTTGGATTTTTTCCAATATTGCATTTATCAAAATATTTAATGTAATTCTAGATAGTAGAATGGTAACTTTTTATCCCTTTTACATTCTGTTTTACCTTCTTATTTAATATTGCAAAAGCTAGTACTTTAATGTTAAGTTCGAGTCATAAGATTAACCTTGGCAATGCAATATATTGAACTAAATATAGAAATTCTTTTTGATCATTTTTGTAGTAATAATAAATTTTTCCATTCTTTAGAATTAGAAGTGTTAAAATAAATTGTTAGTAGAAGTAAATTGTGGAGATTACTCAAGACATGTGTTTTCTTGTGATGCATTAGCGATCGCGTAACGCCACCCTTCTTCGAGGGGGCGCGTGAAAGAATTTTTGAAACGGTCACGCCGAAGAGTGCGGAGAACTATCTTTAGAGCTCTTGCAGGGACGGTGCTCCTTGCTCAAAAATAGAATATGAGTATTCGTTGACGGGATATCCGCCAAAAGAAGCATATTAAATTTAATTAACAGCAATTTTTGCTCCTTTCTCGGTAAAAAATTAAAAGAAATTAATAATTAAGATCTGCCGCTAATCACTGAATCACATTTTTTATAAGTTTAGAAATTGTCATATAAAATTTCATAAATCCATTATGCGATAATTTGAGTTTGCTGCGTAGATTTTTTTACAATGTTGCTTTTATGTTTGATAAGTTGCTGAAGATTATGGTTTTTTGTTATAAACATCATCGTGACTGACCTCTCTGCTGACTGGTGATCTGTTGCCGCGTAATTTGTCTTTCTGTTCGTTGCTGGATGTATTGTTGTTGTTGTTCCTGCACGATAGTCTGTTGCTGCTGCTGTTGTAGCTTTTGCTGTTCTTGAGACTGTTGTCGCTTCATCTTGGATCAAGGAATCCGATAAAGTTGCGATCCGAACAGCAGAATCGTCGCCGACTATTCGATTTGTAAGATAAACTGCTAACTAATCTAGGAAGATCTACAGAGATCTCCGTTTTATGTCTCTCTTTTTTTCAATGCCGCCTTTTGTCACCCGAGATTTAACGAACAAACTCTCGATGCACAATCGGAGCAAATCACTCGCGCTTATTTCGCTTTGCTCCGCAATATACGCGCAATATTCTGCTGATAACCGCGGCTCAGTCCAGTCAGTCGGCAGAAATCAAGTCATCGTCAAAAGTTTTGTCCCCGTGATTCTTTAAACCAAGACGTCGGTCGAATGCGAATTGGATGGCTTACGACTTGACGCTTGGCTACAGCGTAAGGAGATAGGGAGGGTGTTGCATGGTTGGGGTGGGGACGTCGAGCGTCCCGACGTCCAACGTGTGTGAATGCTGCTGAGGAGGAAGAAGAGAAGTGTAGTGTATGTAAGTCAGTTCGACATATTCCAGAAATTTTCAAACATCCTTATGCATTATGACATTTGGAAACAAGGCTTGCGTGTGTGGCTTGGAAATATTAACATTCAAACATGTTGTGGCATATAATTATTTTTTTTTTCCATAATTTTAATTTCAGAAGTTGCACATTTTCGGGCTTTGGATAATTTTATACTCAGGAAGAGATGCTTTGGCTCACACTGAAGAAACGTCACGGGATCAACAATTTGTCCGGCGTAGATAAATTTTATAGAGTTAATTTGTATACATCGTCGAGCGGAGCGGTAAACGTCTCACGCAGCGTTCTTGCGCTCACTGACAGCCGCCCACGCATCTCCGCATTATTGCCCTCTCCGTGCTCACATCTCTCTTTCGTCGTTCCCCTCCAAGCATTCTAGACTCTTGAGGCTCGATGCGCATGGTGGGTACATTTCTTTGCCTTTCTTTCTCTTTTTTTTTTCTTTGCGTTTTTATACCCTTTCTTGTCTTTGTCGAATATACCTCTTGGATTTTTTATTAATTTATATCCATATGTTTCAGGATTGAATTGATCTAATTTGATCATTTTATCTTTTTTTAATTTTATAAGCAATGTTGCTTATATATTTGTTCTATTTTTCTTGGCAGAATATTAAACAACATGTGTTTTTGTTATACATAGGCTCGATCGAGTTTGGCCGCGCGGCAACCCTTGATCGTAACTCCAAGAGCGCTACATTCTAAAAGTGTATGCACGCCTATCAATGATGCTAACAACGTGGGGGATCACCTTTTAACTAACGATTCGCATTCTGCCTTTCAGACACTTGTAAAGCCATTCGCAACACTTCTTGAACTACAGATGTAGGAATTCTTCTTATTCTAGAATCTCATCAAAGTTATTTATCGAAGTTTCCGTCACAAGTACAATTTTTGTACAACGTTTGAATATATTTCATATAATCGTAATTTTCCATATATAAGCGATGTTTTGCGTTAAGCGAATAACTCTAATCGTTTAACCGTTAACGTTTCATATATCGACGAATCGGAGCGAAACATGCAGTTGCGAAGTTTCGTATGTTTATACACATTAAAGATACGCATCTCGTTAAGTGTAATGTATACTTCACATCGCAGTTAATCTACATCAGCTTTGTGCATGTGTTTTATACACCGTCGGTATCAATAAGAAGCGTTAATGGTCACGGTGCATGCAACGAAGGAAGTAGATACCTTCCCGCACCTTCGCGCTATGAACGTCGGCATGTTCATCAGTACATCATCAGGAAGGTGGGTCACGCGTGAATCACCGCGTTTCGTCCAATATGCCGCATAGCGACGCATCTATTTTGAGATTTTGCGGAATAATCTTGGTCGAGATGACGAGGGAGCCTTCGCATCTATGATTCAAATCCCGAATACGAACACTTAAACATAACGCGAACTCACTTTGCACACTTGTCACATTCTATTTTCGACGACAATGAACAAATCGTCATTAAGGTTCGGCGATGCAATTGAAAGTTGCAATACTCGCCGTGACGCTTCCCAAATCGAAATAGACCAAGTTGACTATACTTGACCTTCTTTCGCGAAGCGCATATTTTTTAAATACGTGAATAGATACATTCACATGTATATATTGATTTAATTTATATGCATTAGCATGAATATTATTACATGGACTTTGATTTTAAGTACTTACCGTTTTGCATTCTATCACGATTGTGCCATGGAAGCTTGATACCCGAATGTAAATCGCCGATACTTGTTCCATTCCTTGTGTAAGTAGTGCCTAATTCATGCTCGATGAAACTTATCCTCTTTATCGTATTGAAATCTTTTCTCACATTTTCGCGATTGTTTCCTTCTATGAAGCTATCATATAATTTGATGATAGTTTGATTGATCACATTGATGAATTATATTAATTGATTGATGCAACTACCTGTAATCGGTCAATCCGAAATCGTAAAAGGACTCGTACGGCTGCTCGTGATTTGTCAAAGTGGGATTAACAGGCTTGTCTTGTGACAGGAATAGATCTTTTAAAGCTACATATTTTGGCGAATCCTGCGAAAACTGATCGATTGTGAATTCCTTTTGATCACGATAAACGCCATATATTGATGACGATGTGCCTGTAAATAACGATATTGTTTGGAAGATGTAATCATCATTGCACGGCGTTACGTGACTGGATTATGGAGGAAATGGATTAGCACTCTATCCACAAATTCGGTCGCTTGTTTTTCTTGCATATTTTTAGATCGCCGACTCACATTTTCCTCCACATTCCGCGAGATTATTTTACCATCTATTTTCATACAAGAGTTCTTCATGCAAAAGATGAGTCGAATTTTATAATTTCTAGAAACTATTGACTTTCTCCATAATATGCAAAGCCAATCGTTTGGATAACATTTTAACGGCTAGTTTGTTTAGTTTTAACCAAGAATAATTTTTTTTTATTTTTAGTAAAAAGTATTTTTAATTATAGCAAAAATTTATGATAAAATTATAATTGGCACTTTATAGTTTGTCGTACATAAGAATATTATAAAAGAGCTTTTTAAAGAATGTATAGATCAAAAAAGAGTCGCATATAATTAAAAGATTGATTTATGTTTAATTATTGTTGATGATAAATACGAAAAAATATTTTTGAAAAATCACAATAGCTATTTTTCATCATTTTTACAATTAATAATAAAAGTTAATAAAAATCTCGATCAAATTCTACATTTGTGTTATACCGATAATAGTTCGATATGCTTTATGATTTTCCTACCTTAGGTTTCCGTTCACCAATAACGCTGCCATATCGCAATATCTTGCAAATGCCAAAAGAAAGGTAAAATAGAAGAGGAAGTTGGAATATAGGCAAGAATATGAAATAATTCGTTAAACCATTACCCAAGTTTATATTTTGTTGAGGAAGCACACGTTTATTTACATAGTATATAAGTATCATTATGTGATATTAATAAATAATAGTTAACCCCTTGCGATGAGAGAATGTTAAAATATCTTTGAAAGTGTCTTTAGCCGTTCCTTAAATATTAAAAATTATTCATTTACGTAACTTAAAGAATATTGTATGCTTTTATAAAATTACTGAAAAAATGCCGTTTTTCGTGACTGTACCATTTTGCGCTGTACATTTAAATGCGTATGAATTATCTCTGACAACTATCGACGCAAGGAGCTAACAATATGAGATTTATAGCATAGTCCCATAACAAATTCCCGCATTTTTGTCTAGCTAGGAAACATTAATTTCTCGCATTTTAAGCAAAGACAATTAACGTAGAAACTTATTAACCTACAAAGTGAGAAACCGCATTTAGAGCGATCGGATATTTCTACTGAATTTATTTCATGTTTATCCATAAACAATAATTTTATTATACTGTTTTTAAATAATGTGTGACTAGTATGTTTCAACAATATCACGATACATAAATAGAGAATGATTTAAAATAATCTTTGGATTTTAAAATAGGAAACTATTTTTACTCTCTATTTTATCAGCGATTTCATTTCCAGTCACTCGCTTTCGCGAAGATTGATTAAAAAGAGAGTATTGTGATTTTAGTTTTAACAACGTTGGCAAGAAGTAATTAAGGTATACTTAAAGACAAATTGGAAATATATTGTTTTAATGAAAGGAAAGAATAGTTGAAAGAGAAATAAGATGTAAACATAGACAAGAGATAAAGTACGTAGATATGCAAAGAATCAAAAGCTTTTCTTAATCCATCCAATAGCATGATCCACCAGAGAATCATTCATAGCATGACAAAAATAATCTATGTAGCATTTTCTTAACTTTCGCATTTTTGTTTGTTTGTTCATTATCGACTAGTTCGATTTAATTGACTAGCTTTTGTCACCTGACATTAGCTCGTACGTTTTTATGAAATGCAAAAGAAACAATTATGCGAATTGAGACAAAGCCAACTTGCTCTTGTCTTATTTATCACTCATTTTTATTTTTTTATATAGTGATAAATTGTTCTTTTCATTCCCAACAAGCAGCAAGCTAAAACAGCATCTTAACATCGAATTATTATACTTAATATTTATTCTTAAGTGTTTGTAAGAATTTCTTTTTGTGTAGAAAATACCTCGAGCATTACCTTTCCTTCACCGTATTAGTTTGCGAGCTGATTAAGCAATAATCAAATGATATGTATGCAAATCCGACACCAATAGACCGAAATTAAGAATTGAAACTTCCATTATTTTTGCATCTATTCCCTTCGATTGTTCCTATCCTCATTTTTACGAAAAGGCAGCATATAGAGATCGTCTATTACCTGACACTTCCAAGTTGGCAGAAGTTACGGTGGAACCTAGGCTATTCGTTGCCGTACATGCGTAAGTCCCGGCATCGTCTGCGCAAAGAAAGACATTTGTGACTATTTTATCCAAATAATCTTACAAAATTTAATTATAATAATTGGTAAATAATTATGAAAGAAAAAAGAAACAAGCACGAATTATAATCATCGTACCGGAGAAAGCTCTCAATATAGTAAGGCGGCAAACACCGTTCCTGTAATGGATTTCGTGGCTCGCAGAGTTTTCGACAATCCTGCGGTCCTTCGACCAAAGAATATTAGGTTGCGGTTCAGCCTGAACAATGCACTCGAATCTAGCGGGATGTCCGCTCACTACCGCGATATCTTTCAATGGCTGAAATAATTATCGAAGTTTTTTTCAGACGTTGTTCGAAACTATGTAAAAAATTATAAAAAATTTTTAATGTTTACCGTGATGAAAATAGGAGCTTTTTTCGGTAATATATCGAGGTAAGGCTGAATCACTTCCTTGTTTGATGATACACCATTGCTGGTTGGCCACGGCGAACCTACGATGTTGGATGAGACTTAAGAATATTATTATACGATAATAATAAGCATTACACGTAACAATTAGGCGATTTATATATAGCAAGTGATTTATGCACAATTCGGCGTAATGCTGCATGTGGCGGGTTATTACAGGCTAAAAAGATGACTGATATTATTAGTATGCATCAAAGCAAGAACGATGTTCTTCTATATATTATTCTAGAATATTTGCCGCTATTTATGACTTCGGGAGTTTGCTAGAAATTTTTTGAGAAAAATCCGAGTGCAAGAAGCGAGAAGTTCTAATGCAAATTATGACAGAAGCTGTCGTTAGCACGAGCACGTTGAAACAATTTAATAAATATAATAGTATCGAGAGAGCGATCAAAGCAAAGCAAGATAAATATATTATCATAATATTCGAAAGAATTGTTAAAAACACTATGCGTTCTCGATGGCAGGCATATACCTGCAGAGTCCACATTGCTAGGTGGTCCAGTGACGCTACTTTGTCTGGGAGAGAGGCTCGGTAGGCTTGGACTGAGAGAAAGTGGACTGGGCGTTATGTGATCCCACCTAGACGGTGACACGGAGCTAGGTATGACTAGACTTGGTGGAGCCATCGAGCTATCTATACTTCCGTTACTCGACTGCTTCTTATTGAGATTCCTCGTGTCTTCAGCTTCGGAAAACTCGCTCTCCGATGTCGGTTCCCATTTGACAGTCTTCGAGCTTCCGAATTTACTTCCCGACTTGCTCTGCCGATTCAAAAATGTGTCTTTCTTCGTAAAGCCATTCGTTTTCTTCTCGGTAAACTCGTGGACTATAGGCACTTCTATATCGCTCGCGCGTCTCTGCCCTTGAATGGTCTTCTTGCTGCTTTCGACCGTTTTCTTGCCCTCGCCGGGCAAAACGATACCGAATTCGTAACCAAAGTCATATTTGAAGTATATGAGTCCAGTGTCCGGATCGATTTGTTTTGTTCCTGTTTGCGTCAATGAGCATTACATGCCTATTACGCTAATTTATTTGTAAATCTATTCGTGTAGTGTATTTCTACGCTAAGATTGCAGACAGAATATCGCATTGCTGTATTTTAAAGTTAGACGTGTGTGTTATATTTTTACATGAGTCGTATACAAATATATAAAATATAAATCGCGTAATTAAAACGAGATATATCTGCTTTGTAAGATAAGGTAATGTTGTTGTTACCGTGTTCGGAGAGTCGCGATTCTTCTCTATAAGTTCTTGGCTCGTCGCTATCGGTCGTCCTCGAGTCGACAGGATGTTTCAGAATCGGCTTACTCTGTCTCAAGTCTGACTGGATATCGCTTACAAATTTTTCAGTTTTCGACTTGAAGCTGCTTGTCATGTCACTCATATGATGTGACGCGATGTCTGCGGATGTTTCAGAGTTTTGTGTTACGAAACAAGGATTTATCTACTTTTTTAAATAGATGAAAGAAAAATATATTCTGAGCGAAAAAATTGGTAAATTAAAAATATAAAAAAAATTTTAAGTCAATCAAATACAGAGCGAATAATAAACAAAGATGCCAAACGATAACCGTGTAAATATAATCCATGTAATTTGTTAATTATTCCCGAATCAAAAGTGCTTGCATCAATGCGTTTCTATCATCGTCTATGCAAAAGCATTATGTGACATTGACATTGTTCTTACGGTCCGCTGCTTTTTTTACGTCGCCCCTTGAAATAAATCCGTATTCGGGCGGCGATCCAGGCTGTAGAATGCTGTCGGTTTTTTCAGAAGTTGTATGCTGCTGGTGTCTTTGGAAGTTGATCTTTTTATCCGTGTTTTCTCTGCGGATCTGCGTCAACGACGTCGTCGGAGGACCGGTGTCGAATTCCATCGGCGATGGGATTTGCCTCACTGACGCACTCGATGATCTTGGACTTTTTATCGTGGGTGGTTGAACTTTCCGGTAACACAGATCTTCCGTGTCACTGTTCGCTGGAGTCCACTTCGGCCGGATTTTGTTAGAATCCACGTCGCTCTCGTAATCGGACTCCCGAAATTGTCCTTGCACAAATTTCTTCGGTGTTGGCACGCGGTAATGCGCACTTTGCTGTTTCGGCACAGGTGCGGCATTAGTGTCGCCGAATTTGATAACGCGACTCGTTTGCTCGACAGTGACGATTCTTCTAGTATTCTCCGTTGATTCGTCCATCCTCACAGTTTTCTTCGTCTCTGTGCCCACCGCGTTGGTAAACGGCGCGCTGGTGCGTGCCTCGTAAAATTGTTGCTGCGGTTGTGGCGGCGCGTATGCGATTTCCGGCGGTGAGCCGGGCAAGAGAACTGTTTTCGGTTTTGTCGCGACCACTGTATGTTGCTTGCGATGTGAACTCGGCTCCGTTGGCTTCCCTACGTAGAAAAGTTTGTCCGGGTGACCACGATCCAAATGGATTCCGATAGCTCAAGAAAAGAGCGTAACGAGAAGATAGCAGCAGAGAGAAATATATTTCTATATTTAATAGAATAGCAACGGCCGGTTTCACACGTCGAACAGATCTCGTTAGGCCCGATTTAGAACTTGAGTTTCGAATTTAATAAATATTGAATATTACATTCGTCGATTATAGATATCGACGACGCCTCGGACTTTTCTCGACCTCACGATGATGAAACCGGTTATAATGAAAGAATGGTGAGTCTTATAGAAAGCGAATCCAATTATATAGAATTAAATGTGACGATTAAAGAAAGGATAAAACTTAATAATGAAAGAAAAGAAAGAATAAAGCAGATAAAGCAGAAAAATAAAAGAATTTGGTTCAGATGTAAAAATGTTCTCCTTGCAAGGAGAATTACACGTTGTTTGTTAGAAAATAAAGTATGATTGAGAAGTTCTGTTAAGGGATTATTTTCTAATTAGAAATACATAAAATTAGTATTAAACAGTAGTCAGGTATGTATGCACTTCACCGCCGACTCGCTGTTGTATTATTTACATATTTACAGAATAGAAAATTTTAATAAGTATATTCTAACACGATATACGTAAATAAGTTGATAAATAGTTTAAATTTTTTAAAAATAAAGGACTCAAAAACAAAAATTTAGCAATTTTCAAGTTTATATACGAATTTTGGTAAGTAGCATAATACCTGAATCAGTAGCAGTAAATTTCATTGAGCTGGCTGTACGGTAGGGCGGTGTTCTGCCATCGTAGTCGCTCTCATAGTCGCTCTCGCGGAAGTCGCCCTTCACAAATTTCGAAGGACTCGGAGAGGCTGGCAGAACCTTTTCCGCTGGTTCCAATTTTTTGTACAACTGATCTATGGAATGCCCCGTTTCCTGCAAAAATGTTTTCGTTAAAATTTTCTACTTATTCAGATATAACACTACAAAAACATAAACAGTATACACAGTTATAACAGTTTCTATTATAATAATTTCTGTGGTTAATACACACACACACATAAAAATCTATGGCTACAAGATATCGCTATCTACGGTTTTCTATTTCGTTAATTTAGGCAAGCAGGCAAAAAAAAAACAACGTTCGAAATGACACACGAACACGTATGAGATCTCGAACCTTCACGGACTCGAATCTGCGTAGACCGCTGCTAGTCGACGAGGCGTAGCTTTTCTCGAACGAGCTGCGTTGTTGTTGAACGAATTTCGGAGCCGGCTGTGTACTGCAAATAGATGGCGAGACGAAAGACGACGATTCTTCCTTTCGCAAACGATCGCTTTCGTAACTGTGGCTTTCAAAAGATTTCGTTCTACTTTCTGAGCATGTAGTATGACTCTCCGTGTGAACCGTCGTCGAGGAACCTTCGCGTTTTCCAATAAACTTCTGCGTCGTCGTAGACGAAGCTTTCTGCTGGAAAGGCTCGTCGGTGTCCGCCATGTAACCGCTTTCTTGATGAAAAACTTTTGTTTTGAATTTCGGGGATTCCGGTTTTTTAACGGACGGAGATTTTGGTGCAGAATTTTTCACACTCTGTTGTACGTAAATCGGTGGAGAACCGGGTTTTAAAGGAATCGAGCTTTGCTGCTGTTGCTGCTTGGATTCTCTCTCGTGCCGTTTAAACGCCATCTTCCTTGTTGTCTTTTCGGAAGATTCTGTGACGAGCGATGGCCCTGAAAACTGTGCAGGAGTCTCGAATTTGGAAGGCGGAAGTGGCTCGGGCTCGGTGGATCTCGGCCTCGTCGGTTGTTTCAAAATGGGCGCCTGGACTTTTCTGTAATGCGGTTCCTCATTGTCACTCTCGTAAGGTCTCCACTTTGCTTTCGGACGACTGTCGAAATCAGACTCATAATCACTTTCGTGGCTGAACGGACCTTTAACAAATCTTGATGGTACTGGCGTTGAATGCTTCACAGGTTTCTTAGCCGGAATAGGCGGTGGTGTAATGCGCACATCTTTCGGCGGAAGCACGGGCGGTTCTTCCCTCTGTTCCACTTTTGCAGTTTTCCAATATAGCTGTCTCTTTTACAAAAGGTGGTGGAATATATCCAATTTCCGGAGGTGATCCCGGTTCGAGAACGATTGAGTCCACTTCCGTCTCCGGAAGGCGACGCGACGTTACGAGCGACGTTTTCGCGGCTGGCTCGATTTTTCGTACCAAGCTAGGCGCTTTTAATTCTTTGTCCTCTGCCCAGTGTTTCGAGCTATATTCTTCAAATTTCTGCGTTGTTTCTGCTTTCTCTACATTGCACTCACTTATATATTTTTCAAACAATGCTTTCTCTTGTATTGGAGTTACCGTGTGATCGACTTTGATCGTTTCGGCGTTATAAATTATCGGACCAAGTTTCGGCGGTGCTTCCACTATTTTCTCCGTGAACTCTTCTTTGCTGCTCCACGATCGTTTCTCTATACTGGTCGAAGATTCCGTGCTAGTTTTCTTTATTCCACCTTGCGGTGTTTCTTCGACCTTCTGTTTAAACTCTTTTGCGGAGCTCTTGTATTCGTCGACGGGAATATTCCACTTCTGACCAAAAGTTTCAGTCTGCGGTGGCCATGACTTTCGATTCGAATCCGCGCACTTTTTCGCCCAGGATTTTTCCATCGCCAATGCGTCCGCAGATGGCTTTGGCGACATTGATCTCAGAGTTTCTTGGTGGCTAGATGCAGCCGAGTAACATCTGTATTCCGAAAGGTCTGTAGACACATGCGACTTGGTTTCCACATCCGATGACGATGACCACGGTCTGATGGGAGAAGTACTTCTCAAGATCGATGCGTACTTCGATGGTTCTATCTTTTCTTCCTTAAAGTATTCGCTTTCCTTTTTCTCGTGCGCGTCTTTCTTTACGCACGTTTCCTCAAACACTTCTCTCTTTTCGAGTTCGAACGGCGGCGGTATCGTAAATGCGGGAATAGGTTCCGTAGGTTTGACAGGTTCCGGTATTTTCGGGGTGGACGGCGTAGGAAAGATTTTGACACCTCCGATTGGAGCATCTATCGGGGACAGGGTTTTCTCAAAGGACTCCTGAAGCTGTTTCGCCTTGACAAACACATCGGGTCGTTTTTTTTTCACCTCTTCCGGCTTCGGCATGTAACATATCTCGGGGGGTGGTTCTGGTACAAGGTTGAAACTTTCCAGCAACGTTTCGGAGCTCTCTGTCTGAAACTGTAGTTGCGAAATAGACAAATCAGAAATTATTTTTTCCTCTATTGCCGTTTTTTTTATTTCCGCTGAAGGACTCTCGTACGGGAAGTCGAACAGTTTATTCTCCACTCCACGCGGCGGTCCTTGTTCCAACTTCGTGAAAATATCCTGGACAGCTTTTTTCGTCGCTTGAAACTCCGATGGTCTTGGTTCCGATTTCTTTACTTCTTGATAAGTTGCCCCTCGCTCATAACTCTTCGTTAATTTTCCAACCTTTGCTGCTTGAACTTGCCCGTCTTCCGTCAGTTTAATCATTCCCTTCGGCCCTTTCGGCAGTGTCTCACTTTCCTTCGTAATCGATTCGAAGAAGCTTAACGCGTCTTTTCTCGCGATAGTAGACGTCTCTATGTTTTCATTCTCGATTGTTGATTTCTCATCCGTCTTTATCAACGGCTCCGCAATGTCTCTTTTGTCACGGTCAACTTCCTTTACCGCAATCGTTTGTTCGGTTCGAGACTCTACGATGGACGGAGTTTTATGTTCCAGCTTCATATGCAACTTCTGCTCCGACTTCGTTTCGGTTTCGTGGGATTCGATTATAGATGATATCGTCTCCGATTTACTAGCTTTTATCTCTGGCCCTTCGATCTTTTGCACGGTATCGATTGTCGATGCCAGAGTCGAAATTGATTTAAACGGACTTGGCTGGATCGCTGTCGTTGGTGCCTGTTCGCTCGTCAAAATGGCTGATGACGCCTCTTCCCTCTTTTCCTTGGACTAAGCGCAAGTATACAGTTTCAAAAATATTCGTAAAGAAGTAAATAAACCATCTTCGATGGAAAACATTGAACTTTATTCCATTTTTTAATTAGAAAAAAATCAAAAAAGTTTTCTTTAAAAAATAAATTACCTGGACAACATTTTTATCCTGAACGTTTTCATAGACAACAGTTTTATGCACTTCCACCATCGTATCGGGCTTTGGTTCGAAAATCGCAACATCTGCGATGCTCTGCGCCTCGCCACCGGCGTTCGTCGCTCGCACCATGTATTTACCGCCATCTTCTTCTTTAGCTATAATGTAAATTCAACAATAAGTTTTAAATATAAGATATAATACATGGAGAATAAATATTGAATACTTTAATCTATGTAACAATCATGTATAGAGAAATACCTTTATCTATGAGCAATGTATAACAATTTCCTTGTTGAATAATCCTCAATTCTGGTGGTCGTTCATTGATCGGCACGTCGTTTTTATACCAATTAACTGTGGGATCAGGTATACCGGTAATTTCCACTTCCATAATAACGCGATCTCCTTTTTTTACTACTTGAGCTTTGAGGCGCTTGCCGAAGACCGGAGGAAATACTGTCTCTAAAATTGATCGCAAACGTTTACACACTGTTAATCTTATATACAGGGTATTTCAGAACAACCGTATCACCTTAATAGCTGATTTCTCAGGTTAAGAGATTTGGAGTAAAAATTTTTATATCAAAATGTCGAGACTACAATAGTTTTTAAATGGGAAGTATTTAAAGTTTGACAAATCAGGTTGTCAAAAGGTATGTTGAATATTAATTTTTATATCTTTATCTCATCTGAAAAATCTCGAAAATCTGCTATTAACGAATAATGTGGTTAGTCTAAGACACTTTATATTTTTATATTATTTTTAAATCTATTCTCTTAATGATATTAAAATAAAACAATACAATATTAAAATAAAACATTACATAATATTTCACGTGCAATGTTTTGGGGAAATAACAGGTAATAAATAAGTGATTACTTACCTTAAAGTTGCTCTGCGCCTCCTCCTTTTTTCAGTTCTCTTTGCATTTCTTCAAGACACTTACACGTGTTCACAACGTGAATACAAAAATCGTATAATGTTTTAAACGGCACTCCCGATACATATTTTGTCATTCGGATAAAACTCGAATATCATCACACGAATTACACGTTCGACAATGCCGCAAGTAACGACGGAAAAGGTGAGATCGAAAATTACAGGAAATAATAAGAATAATATTAAGGATAGCACTAAAAAATAACACGTTGATACGAAATGATTTGCTCTGTACAAAGTGCCGACAATAAAGTGTACGAACAATAAAGATGCCATAAACATATCAAGGATAAAGTCGCGCCGATTCCGATTTGGCAAAATGCGGGAAGTAACAATAATACGCGCTTCGATATATAGTGCAAGAAAGAGAGAGAGAGAGAAAGAGTGAGGGAATATAAATCACGCCGGCCAACAATAAAAGCGATAAAAATAACCCCACCACGAGTCGGCTTCGAGCTTAAACTCGATTTTGATAAATGTTTGATAAATACCTTAATGTTCCGACTCGATGTGTATCCGTATCGACGTGTTATCCTTTTCAATACAACTATCCTTATTATTTCTCGTAGTTTTTTATTTCACCCTTTCCGCCGTTACTTGTTACGCGGCAGGGTGTCGAACATGTAATTTGTGCGAGTTTTATTTTTGTCCTAATGTGACAAAGTATGCATCGAGGGGTTTGAAATATTGTGCGATTTTTGTATTTCTGTCGCGAACGCGTGTGAGTGCCAGAGAACTAAGAGGAGGAGGAAGCTCAGGAAGGACAGTAGAGTAACTTTAGGGTAATTATTTATTTGTTATCTGTTATTTGCACGTAAAATATTATGTAATGCAATACACATAGAAACTTTAAAATATTTGGTAAAAGATTTGCAATTTATATTTATAGTTATTAGATATAAATATAATTCTTTTAGTAGATATTGAAATGAGTAAAAGTTTAACGTGCGTATTAATTATTTGTCATATAATTATTTTAAACGCTGTTATAATTTGGATGTACTTTGTATGTTACAGATCAACTTGTACACAACTCTGCTGCTGTGCATCGTGTCGGTAAGTCAATTCAATTTGTTTTATTTTAATATCATTAAGAGATTTAATAGATTTAAAAATAATATGAAATATACAAGGTATCTAACCGTATTACTCGTAAATAGAAGATTTCTGAGATTTTATATAGTAAGGATAAAAAAAAAAATCAACATGCAACGTGCTTGTGCGCGTGAATTTTGGACAACTTAGTTGGTCAATTTTAAACATTTTTTATTTAAAAATTTTTGTAACCTCGATATTTTAATATCAAGATTTTCGTCTCCAAATAACTTCTGGAATCTGCTATTAATGGTTGGCTTGGGACATCCTCTATAATTTTTTGGACTTAATTTATGTACATGGCACTTACTTTTGACAACAAGATCAGCCGTGCTACTAGCGCTTCCAACATCATTGCTCACTGTACAGGTATAACGTCCAGCGTCTTTTATATTGACATTCTTCAGTTCCAATTTTACGTGATTATGAGCGTAACTAATTTTCATATTATCTGTCGATGTTAGTTTTTGACCATTCTTCGACCACAAGATGGTTGGTTGTGGAAAACCTGAAATATACATCAAACAATAGCATAACAATAGCAATAATGAAAGGAGATAATCATAAATATATTGGCAAAAAATACAATTTGGAAAAATAAATTAGATAATTGAGATATAATGTTAAATACACTCACCATCAATAATGCCTTCGAGAACTACATCCGTTCCTTGATCGACAATCATCCCTGTAATCGGCGAGACGAACCTGGGCGCTATCGGTTTTCTGGTTGGCTTTTGTATTTGATTTGTCTTGACATCGCGTTTTACTCCTTCCGCTTCTTCAGACACTACAACAGTTTTCTCTTGTCGCACCTCGCCAGGTCGATCCTGTATGATTTTCTCATACTCCTCGATCTTGTGAGACTGAGAAATAACATTTCAAATTGATGAATACGCTAAACGATGTTTATGTGCATATACGAACATTCAGCAATGATAAGACAAGCTGAAATGACTATTTTCACAAAAATGCCGCATAATACAGATGTATTTGATAAATTTACCTGTACGACAGGTGGTGCTCCATTTTCAGAAGTTGACTGTTCCGAACTTTGCACAGTTGCTTTTGTGCAAACACTGGTAGGTTCTTGTCCGGATTGCGATAAAGTGGAAGTAGAGGACGATAAGAATTCCTTTTTCGTAGACGTTGTTGAGGAATGCGTGACAGTCGATGACATTTTGGTTAGCACATGACTTTCACCACCACCTTCATGATACGTCTTCTCGCTTGAGAAGTGTTTATCACTACTACTCGCAGGATGCATGATATCTGCAGGAGAATGTGGAACTAACTCGAGCACTTCTTTGACTTCACCTGCAATCTGTTTCACTGATCCACTATCTGAAAGTTATAATCCAGTTATGTCAATAAAGCGATTAAATTTTTCTGATGCTGCTAATGATAAAACATACTCTGAGAAATATGCAGCAACACTGTGACTGGTAATTAACAAAAAAAAAAAAAAACAGTACATTTAGTGAAAACTTTTATTATTAAAGTTATCAAAATTATTATTTATTTCAGGTAAAAAAAGTCTTTATATTTTATCTCATTTCTAATTGTAATTAATAAATAAATAATTATAAAATAAATAAAAATGTAAAAAAACAATCAAGACGTTTCTAATTTTATAAAATTAAATTTTACCTTAGTTGATATAACGCACGCAAATTTACCAATTTCAAATATTGGAGATAAGAGTACTGGAGCGCACCGAGCGCACGATCGAAATGCTCTCAGCGAAGTAACTAAATACTTTGCCTACGATCTACGACAGAAATAGTATCGTTCACCTAGTAATAGGTGAATCGAGCACTCGGCTGCAATATATAACCCAAGACCATCGTCCCAATTTATCGCTGTCATTTGTCAATGATGCGTTCGTATTATGCACGATATTCGATAAGTAATACGACTTTATATACAGTAATATATTGTCTTATTTTTGATTAAAGTCATAAATTGGAAAGAATTAATGAATTCAAAAAAGAGACGTACTATTCAGCTGTAATCTTTTTAAAAAACTTAATATTTTTGAATACATATAATTAAATATAATATTCTACATTAATAAATTGATATGTTCTAATAAAGTTTACAATAAATCTAGAGTTTGATATAACTGAATTTGCCTTTTTATTGTCAATTTTGTAAATTATAAAGATGATACGCGCGTGTATTAAAAATTATTCGGAACTGGTCTCGACGAGACGCTGCGCCTACAAAAATGCACTTGTATTCTTTAAGTTAGCGAAACAGAACCAGACTATGCGCCGAATATTTGCACTGACAAAAATAACACGGTTTCTGCATGCAATGAGAGAAAGAGAGATAGGCGAAGGGAGAATGACTCGTCTGAAATATTCTTAAATTTTTTTCTTTCGTGAAAAGTATAACTTCAATTTTCTTACTACTCGATGTTTCAATATTCTGCGCGCAGGAGGAAGAGAAGTTTACGTTGTGAATTTATACATTCAGGTCACGCTATAAATGCAACATATGAAAGTAGTTGACAAGCATGCTTAGTAATGTCAGAGCGAAAATATTTTATTTAAAGCAAAAAGCAATCAAATTTTAGCGTGCAGCTGGCGTTGTTATATCTTCTTTCGATTTTCTGTCCACTCATTGAACAGCTATTTTATGTATCACTTGCTAGGAATCTCGAATGAGCTACATTTGACTGGGTAAAGCGGGTATTAATAACTTGTGACACCGTTGCATTTTTTCTGATATTATTTTTGATGTCATCATAAAAGAGAGTAAAAAAACCAATGTGTGCAGATATTAAAGAAAGCATTCAATAATATATCCAAAAAATGTACCCAATAATAATCAATAAATTATAAAATAAAAGTTTGACATGAACTTACCAATTTCCACTTTAGCGCTACAAACTGCTCTACCAGCCGCGTTTTCCGCTACACAAGAAATAGTGCCGATGTGCGCATCCCCGACCTCAGGAATTGTCAGAACTTGCCGATCCCCGCTAACGGACACTAAGAAATCTTTTCCATGAACCGGCCGATCATTAAACAACCACTGAATCTGTAATAAAGAAATTTCGTTAATAAAATTTGCCGTAATCGAAGAAGACAAAACACATGCGCATCAAGGACAATTACGTATGACTTCCACTGTATTCGATAATTTACAATTTCGATAAGAAAACGATAAGCGTAGTAACGATTGTACCTGTGTGACAAGACCGCGGCGTCTTGCACCGCGTCGAAAATTCCACCTTATGCTCCGCGGCGCGACTGCAACCGTGGCTTTTCACATGAGGTATATTGTTCGTGTTTAAATATAACTCGTCGGGTACGAAATTACTCTTACCCTGTTCTGACAGGCCGGCCAACTTCTCATCTACACGTTGTTTACGTGGCCCACGCAAATTTCAAAGCGTGGAATTTCAAACCGGGGAATTACGAGCAATCTTGTCGTTTACATTCATTACACAATATTTTATTCTATTAGAATGGCTTCTCTATAATTTTATACTTACGCCAAACTTTAATTATGTATCTTATTAATTAAAATTATCGATATAGAAGTAAAAATTATCTTTTGCGAAACATTGCAAATAATCCTCAATATTCAATTCTTCAGTACTTTTCTTTTCTATACAATAATACTGATAAAATTATTTGTCAAAAAATTGTAAATGTACGAATATTATCCCTATATTTATAAATTTGTAATTTTTAAATTAAAAGCGAAGTTTTCCGTCTTTCTTAAATAAAAGAAAAGTATAATTTTTGAAAAAGAATTTACCTTGGGAGAAGGTTTACCAGTGACGATGCATTCGAATTTTGTCGAAATTCCTTCGGGTATTCTTCTATCCTCAAATACTTCTTTGAACCG